TGTAAGGAGTTAGACAGTAATCCAGGTTCGTTCTCTTATGTGTCCAGTTTTCTCAGTAACTGGTGTCTCTTCCCCATTGTATATGCGTGGGTTTATATCTGGGCTCTCTATTCTTACCTGTCAATCTATGAATGTTCTTGTGCTAGTACCATACTGTTTCGATTACTGTAGCTTTGTAGTATAGCTTTAAGTCAACATAACCTCTCTACCCCCACAACTTTGTTCTTCTTTGTCAGGATCGCTTTGGCTATTTGGGGTATTTTGTGGTTCCAGATGCATTTAAGGATTATTTGCTCAAGATAATTGAAAAATGCCATTGTTATTTTGATAGGGATTGCATCGAGTCTGTAAACTACTTTGGACAGGATGGCCATTTTGGCAATATTAATTCTTCCTGCCCATGAGCATGGGATAGATTTCCATTTAATTATGCCTTCTTTAATTTCTCACATGAGTGTCTTACAGTTTTCAGAGTACAGGCCTTTCACCTCCATATTTATTCTTAGAATTCTACTCTTGAACCTCTCTCCCCTTTTATTAAGAAATAGGTGGTAGAAACAGAATATTAGTGTCATTCTCAAATTATATATGGCTTAGTAAGTACAAAGACTTAAAATGTAAATTGTTTTTTCCCCTCTCCAGATATTTTACAAGTAGGGTTAACTATATGTCTGATAGTTGGTCTGATAGCACTGTAACTAGCAACAACTGTTGTTGCCTGATTCATGGAAGCAGTAAATTGGTCTAAGCTACTAGCTGTTAAAAACCAGGGAAAGGAGGTTTTTGGTTTCATTATATTTTGGCACCTAGAAAGTTGTACTATAAATATCTGTCATTAGGAATTTTGTAGATACTCAAAGTAGAATATCAAGGCCTTAACTTTTTAATCTTTTCCAATTATTTTCTTAAATAGAAAATAAATTTTTTTTATTTAAAATATAAATGAGAGAATTTTATATGTAGTTATTTAAGCAGATTCGTTGTTTCAGATATTGTTTCTGGGTCCTAAATCTGGCTAGAGTAATGTGTTACAGAATCAAAATTTACTGTCATATATATTAAGCTGAGCAGATTCAAGTACTATATATGTCATCTTCCCACAGTGTACTTACAGCTTTAAAAGTCTGGGTTTTAAGATAACTTGGATTTGTCTGTTCACTTCACATTTTTTTGTTACCTCTTCCCATTGTGTTTTAACTACTAAGCACATGACTAGCAGCTCTGGGGTGAGCGTGACCACCCAACATCAGGTCTTTGTTAGCATCTGCTCTGCTCATGTGCTGCTGGGTCAGGACCTGAGAGCAGCTAACAGAGCTGCTCGAGGGAGGGCAGCAGATGGACACTTCAGATGATGCGGCTGCTTCTGATGTGAAGTGAGAGTCTAGCTGTTGATGTGGCATGTACAGATAAGAACTGCAGGGATGAGGGGCTGGAAATCTAATCAGTGTTTCCTTTCATATTCAGACTCAGATTTACATATTTTTCGGAGGCTTCCTTCCTTGATAATCTGTTAACCAAATATTTAAATTTGGATTTTATTCTTCCCCAACAGTGTTTTGAGGCCTGTAGTTTGGTGCAGTGCTTTGCCTTCACATGGTTTAGTTGAATTTGCCTGTGTGTGTGCCCATGAACATACACATGGACTTTGTATATTTTACCAGTTTTCCTTTATTTATAATTTCTATCATGCAGTGGGTGTATGTTGTCACAGATACTGTCTTGCAAATTAACTATTACTAAATAATAGGAAAAATAATACAGTCTTAAAAGTGGTCATTCAGTGTATGAATCCATAAAGTCACCTACATATAAGTTCAGCAAAGTCTATGGGTCTCTACTTCAGTCACATATACAGGTGTGATATACTCTCCATCCCACTAAACACTGCCTTTTACACCAAAAAGTAAGACTTAGTCCACAATGAAAGATTATATAAAAATTTACTTTCAAACATGCTTATGTGAAAATCTAATTAAATGGAAATAGAAGTAAAATTTTTGAAAGTGTAATCTTCCTTTATTGTTGGCTTAAGGAATTTATATGTACTTTTACTTTTCTCAAAAGTTGCAAAATTATTTTTTGCCTAGGAAAATGAACATGTGGCCACTGCCCCTGATCCTCCAAGTCAGCATTTACGGGGTCATGGAACAGGCTTTTGTTTTGATTCCAGGTAATTTTCCTTCTTTCTTGTTTAGAATTTGTATATGTAGACCAGTGGTTCTCAAAATATGGTCCCTGGAAACTTGTTAGAAATGCTTGTGACCAGGGCCCTACCTCAGACCTTCTGAACCCCAGACCTTGGTGTGGAACCCAGCAGTTTGTGTTTTAACATGTCCTCCGGGTGATTCTGATGGATGCAGTCCTGTGAGAACTAGTGCTAATAAAAACACTGTTGTTAAACCAAATGAATACTATTGAAATAAGTTGTGTTAATCTTTATGATTTTACAAAAGGCGTTTTGTTTAGTTAAAAAATGAACTGTCATGAATCCTCATTTCATATAGTGATTGTATGTAGAGGATTTTAATGAATAAATATTTTTGTCAGTCTAATCACAAAACTAAATTGAGAAGCTTTACAAATGGTCCACACAGTCGTCAATAGTTAGCCTTTAGAAGCAGAAAAAGAAGTTTCTGGAGTAACTGCAGACTTTCAAGATAAGCTGTTTAGTGTGAATCAGCTTAACTAGATAAATGTAACCATATCATATTTTATAAAGATTATTATTATCAGATTTATTAGACATATGTAATTCTTTCATTTTTCTATTTCTTCAAGCTTTGATGTTCACAAGAAGTGTCCCCTCTGTGAATTAATGTTCCCTCCCAACTATGATCAGAGCAAATTTGAAGAACATGTGGAAAGTCACTGGAAGGTGTGCCCAATGTGCAGCGAGCAGTTCCCTCCTGACTACGACCAGCAGGGGTTTGAAAGGCATGTGCAGACCCATTTTGATCAGAATGTTTTAAATTTTGATTAGTTACTTTGATTATGATAGAGTTGATACAGTTGAGCAGTTAACAAATCTCCAGTAGACCACTAAGACCACAAGGTATCACTTTTATGTCCCTTCTAACTTTTCTGACCAAGAGCTACTTTGAGTTTGGTGTCATTAGGGGTCAGGGTCAATCTTTGGCTTATCAATAAATATAATTTTAACCTTTGTTACTCTTACCTGCTGAAGAAAAATTCTTTTGTGTTTGTATCTTTATTTATTCCCCAGTTTGCAAAATTAAGGATTATTTTAATGTTACTCCACTGAAAAAGTATATGTAGAGTATATTTAGAATATTTACAAGTTTATGTTGACCTTGTTGATTGAGCATGGCTACTAAATATTACATAATAAAAATAATTTATAAAGTCTGGCAAAGTTATTTTTTGAATACAGAAGCTTCCATAATTCAGCTCATGAAATACACAACCCTCTTTAGAAATGGAGCTGCATGTAAAATGAGACCACATGCTTACAGTATGGCAAATATCCTTTTTATATTTGAAATGTTTTCTTTAGGAATAGAGGGCATATTTTGCTAATTTTGATTTTAAAAACCTGAATGATTATTTTTAAGCCATCTTTAAGTTGTATTTCTATCTAATGGGAAAATGGAACAAGATAAGTCAATGTAGTTGTTTAATATTATATGATCTGTTAAATGTTTGTGGCATAAAATCATGAAAAAATATTTTTCACATTTTCCTGATGCAAGTATAGCTTTGAAATAACATTCTCAGTAAGTGATAAAATGTAATACATAAACCCAAATCAAAGTAATGTGTTTCTTGGTACACTCTCAGCATTAAAGAGGACACATGGAGATGTGTAATTTCATTGTCAAATTTATTTGTGACAGTTTTTCATGAAGTGTAACATCTCTTCTTGGTCTAGGCCTTAGATTTCTGAACTGTATTCCTCTTTTAAAATATGAATGTTTAAGAATTAAAGTGCAGTTTGATTTTGCTTTTTAGTTACCAGAATATTTAAGATTGTCTTAAGCAAACTGTTAACCTAATATGCAGTGTGGTGGCATTTTGGGGTACTGTATGTGAACTGTGTTTAACATGTTGCTTGTAATTGTTTCTCAGAGAATTTGTGTATTGTTGGAATCATTTAGAAAGTTTGAGTCTAGGGTAGGCAGGCAGTAGTACTCAAGACTTATGTTTTAGCCTCCAGTAGCTTCAATAGTAGCATTTGTGTTACAAGTGTTAAAGATAGATAGACCATACTAACAAAACATCCCTGTTGTATTACTAGCCTACAAGTCACTTCACTGGTAAGATGAACAGTCTTTTTTTGAGCATGGCTCAAAAAAGTAGTTTTTGGCCCCAAGTGGTGACAGAAAACCAGTGTGGCCTAAGCAACAAATTAAGGAATAAAATCTCTGTGTCAGCTGAAGTCTGCCGAAGAACTGGCTGAGGAAGGTGCAACAAGGCACTGCATGGATAGGTCCCAGAGTCACTTGATACAGATCTTCATAATGGATGCTAATGAAAATAAAGAGCCAAGTTTATTTTGGGTCAGAGGCAGTTTATTTTAGATTTTATTTCACTTACATTTATAAGCAGCTTTTCTTGACAGGAATTCTGATTCGTTAAGTTGCTTTCAGTTCTAAAACAAACCTCTGTTGCTTTCAAACTTATGTGCTCTGTCCCCAACAAAACATATGAAAATATAATTTAAAGCACAGTTTCCACACACACACAGTACAATACATTCACTACACACGGTATAACAACATATTCCCATCCTCACCTGTTTAGTAATACTGTCACAATGAATAAGTAGAAATCAGAATTTGCTTTATAGTTGAAATTTAACATGCACAATGACTATTTTATGACTGTTTAGCTGTTGAACTACTGATCCAGCCTACAATTTCTTGCACTATTAAGGAGCAGAGCTGAATAATTGCTGGCCTAAAAAAAGTTTGGTCTACCTTAAGTAAATATGAAATAGGCAAGTAGGGCCTTCTTATGCACCAACTGGTTGCTTCTCATGTCTGGATCACACTTTACTCAGGACCAAGACCGCTCTTCAGAGATCTGAGGAAATTTTTAGAGGGCATAATTTTCATAAATACTTTAAAATCCCTCATTATGAGGGATTCACAAGAATATAGAAATTTACCCGTCTGGCTAACAGAATTGTCAATCCTTTTTTTAAATATCTGAAAAATTGAGGAGGAGGGGACACCTGCTTCCCAGCTGTAAAACTGCCATCAAATGAGAACAAGTTATAAGCATTTTGAGTTTGCTTTTCACCAGTTTTGCAGGCAGCTAGCCATCTCACAGCAATTTTTAATGCATAATTAGGCAACTGGTAAACTCTCATGTTTATAGAATAGCACTTGGGAGGGAAGAGCACTCAAGGCGTGATGGTATTGTTGATGAGAAAAACTTCAGGAATGGTCCAGGCGTTACTTTGATGGGTCATATTAGTCACTCTTTGACCACCTGCTGCAAGAAGCACTTAATTGTCAGTAAGGCTCAATTTTGTATTTCGGCAAAATGTTTAACAATGCTAAACAGACATTTCCAGTGGGACTACAGACATCGATAATGTTGATGGAAAAGTGCCTTTAAAAGAAGTCAAAACACAGTAGGCATGAAGAAGAGGCAATAGGAGTCTTAATGAAAATGTTCCTCTTTGCAACATGTTTGTATATTTGTTTGCAACCCACAGGTTTGCTAGGGCGATGGTTGCAAGAATTGGCAACACATAAAACATTAAATCTGTTGGCAATAGAGAACTACAAAGTGCTTTAAAACTTCACCTAAAGATGAAGATAGAACTAAATTCCACACACACAAAATTTGCACTTCAGTATTTCAAAAAGTGTTTCCTAACAGATTTAAGGGAAAAAGTATTTCACTAAACTGGTATCTTGGTCCACAAGTATCAATAGGCATAAATGGAATCCCTTGCATCCAGCAGGCACTCAATGAATGTGTTAATGTGTGAACTGAGTAGACTTTTATACAAAAATGCCATTTATAACACTAAAATGATTGGTAAGTCAGATGGCAAGATTCTCAGCTTTTTAAAGGGCTAAAAGATTTGCAAGATAATATAAAACACAGAAAGCACACCTTTTATGTATGTTATTTAAATATGAAAATATTTTTAGCATATTATGTTAAACATTTTTATTTATATTTCCATTACCTAATGTCTTTCTACTCACAAATACTAACTCCATTATGTAAGGCATGGTAACCAGCTTGATAATGAAGGTATTATTTTGGTTTTGAATATAGTGAGTTTATGTGTTGAAAAATTTCAATCATATTACAATCTTGGAAAAAAAAATCTCAGTACCAGCCGCTCCTCCCCCCAGTTAATATCACTGCAATACAGCTAAACAACTTGTAACATGCCCTCAACTTTATTTCGTTTTGGGGGAAATGTGAAGACCCTAGAGCTTTTTTGTTTAGCACCTTATATTGAAGTAATAAAAATGGGTATGATGATTACATGTGCAAATGTAAAAAATCATTAACTCTACAAAGATACATCATTCCAAAATTACAGAAAAAATTTAAAGCATGCATTTAATTCTTTTTAAAGGGTTGCTGAATGCTTCCCCTGCAAAAAGGTGGCTGTATTCAAAATCAGCAACTGCTGGTGAGGATTTCTTGGCACAGTTACGACCAGCGTGTTATTGCTGCATCTTCCTGATAATCTCAGCCGACACCGGGGGGTGGAAGTTGATTGTGTGGTGCCGCAGGCCCTGAGCTGTCTTGTAACTCTTACCACAGCGACATTTGAATGGTTTGCGGACACGAATCTGTGTTCTGTGACCATTCTTAGCATGGTACTTTATGCCATTCACATTCTGTGGAAGAGACAAAAGTATCACCTGTCAGATGGCTTCACATGATGGCTATCAGCCTCGGGAGCATCTCAGTGTGGGTGTGGACGGCAGTCGGCCAGCGCCCGCCTGGATGGCAGCCGTGTAAAAGGATGCTTTGCATGGACTCCAGCTGTGACCCTTTGAGCAGTCTAGCACGTGCATAATGATTGTGGGCCGTGCAGACTGGGTCATGCATGACAGTTTCAGATACGCCTCAACTATTCTGAAAACTAGAGTACTGACTTCTTACATACTTTTCTAAGTCCTGTGGTAGAGAATTCTGCTTGACCTTCTACTTGACTTGGTGGACCCAGGGGTGCCAAACAGCAACCAGTTGGCTGCTCAGAGTCTGAAGGCTGTCCAGTGAGTTGAACATGGACAAGCACCCTCTGCCCTGAACGCCTAGCTCCCACCTTCTTCAGCCCCAGTGCTCCCTGCATCAGTCTCCGCATGGAGGGTGAAGAGCCCCTCATGGATATTCAGAGGCACGGTGGGGAGTAAGAACTGGCTGCAGTGGGATAGAGAGAGGGCAGGGGTACGATGCCGCCCGTTAAGACAGATGGAAGATGTGCCCTACTAGCCCACTGTCCCAGCCATCCCACCAGAGGCCTCAGGAGTAAAGAAGCCAACTTTGTATATCTAGCCCCGGCTGGCATTTTAAACTGCAACTACATGAGAGACTTAGGCAAGAACCACCCAGCTGGAGTCAGGCAACCCACAGAACCATGAAATAGAGTAACAGTTGTAAGCTACCTGAAGGAGAGTGAGTTAATAGTTTTATGAACATTAGAAAAAACTAGTTTTCTAAATACAGTTAAGAAGTCTACTGGCTCACAAATGCTAGACATTTGCATCCATCTGTTTAATGACTATTAGCTCAACAGATAACACACCGAGCAACTACTAGGGTTCCTTTCTGTGGGTAAAGGGAGGATTACTAAAAAATTTCATGTCCTTGTTTTCACAAGAACTTGTTGCAAGAAGAATCACTAAAACTCCAGCTATCCCTATGCCCCAGTACCACTCACACCATGTCAGAAAACAGGAGACCAAAAATAAAACATTTGAGTCACAAGCAGAAAAGCATAGCAACTCCAACAGGATCAGACCGTAGGTACTCCATCCAGGCCTGCATTTCCATAACTAGGCAGGGGAAAGTTTGAAGCCAGAAATTGTTAGAGCTGTCAGTCCAACATGGCCAGATCATCAGAGGGACAAACCCAGGGTTGAGGGATGATAACAGTAGGTTCTGTGGGCTGTTCCCAGCTTGAATGTAAACATTGTTTTGTGTGTTTGGCTTTGAGGCTGTGAAAAAAACAGCCAACTCCATATATTGCCTCATTCTAAAAAAATTAGGAAGCCAGTTGCACATTCGGAAACATGGCATTTCCAGGTCTGGCTCAAGAACCTAGAAAAACCTGCTTTAACATCTCTTCTCTTTGTTGCTGGGATTTCAAGTGCTCACAAGTGTCAGTGGGCCACCATTACCACAGATATTAGTACTTGCTCTAACTAGACTCAAGATTTGCCCTATCAGTCCATTCACATACAGCAGTGGGGAAGGAGAGACTGAGGTGATGGACTGGGCAAGGCTGGCACTGGTTCATTGCTGTACCAGGTTCTCCAACCACCAGAAACTACCTGCCCAGGTAAGGGAATTGAATCAGTAAGAGACACCCAACAATTAGAGGCTCTTCTCAAAATTCGACTCCAAATCAAACTGAAATCCAGAGTCAATGCCAAACTGGGCCTATCATGTCCTTTACGGTATTTGATCTTCGTTTTCAGCATTCAGGCCTGAATAGGTATGTGACACATGTCGTTAATATAGAAACTGTAACTTACAATTTCCTGTAGTAGAGGAGAGAATGAAGTCACCTGGAGCTTTGATAAGGAAGAAAAATTTAAACACAGAAGCAGGGGGTGGTGATGGTACTAACAGTTAAAAGTGAAGCCACTTGCAGAGAGAGACAAATGCCAAATGATTTCCCTCATGAAGCAAATCTGAAGGAACAAAATGGCAGCACACTCAAGAGACTCCAAGAATGAACTAGTGGTTACCAAAGGGGAGGGGTGTGGGAGGGTGGGTGGGGAGGGAGGGAGAGGGGGACTGAGGGGTATCGTGTTTAGTACACATGGTGTGGGGGATCACGGGGAGAACTATCACAGAGAAGGGACATAGTGGATCTCTGGCAACTTGCTGCACTGATGGACAGTGCGTTGGGGTATGGGTGGGGACTTGATAATATGGGTAAGTGTAGTAACCACATTGTTTTTTCATGTGAAACCTTCATATAAGAGTATATCAATCATACCTTAATAAAAAACTTAAAAAAATGTACATAAAAAATAAAACCAGTGACTCCATGGAAAAAAAATGTGAAGCCACTTGGAAACGTAGCATGTGACACTCCATCCTGAGAGCTGAAATGCAAGTCTCTCCCCCCTGGATCAACATGGCACAGAATGTCCAAGGCGAGTCAGGTGGGAATCAGGTCTTTTTTCTTCCCTGTTACTAAAGTAATCTGTGTCCAGTGTAGGTAATTGTAGATATTTAGAAAATAGAGAAGAGCATGAAAAAAATGTAACCACTTCTAACATCTGAGGTATTTTTTTTCCTATGAGATATGAGATTAGATTCTGTTGTCATCATTTTTTTGAAAATAGGGTTTCGATGGCAGAACTCTCTTTATTCTCCTAATAGAAATTTATTATTTCCCAAATTTGTGCCAACTTTAATGTGATAAACTATTGTACTTCCATCTTTATACCTTTGATGATGTGCTTAGGACAAAATTCTGGGAGAATTACGGAGTTAAAGAGTATGTAACACTTTAAGAAGGTCTCATTCTGTACTGCCCAGTTACCATCCAGAAAGGCTGTCAGTTATGCTCTATACCAGGGCTTCTGATGGGACCCTTAGATGAAGCAAGGAGACTTACAGCCATGGAGGGAGAGGCCTAAGTACCCTTCCTGGGGATACCCTGAGCTCTTCATCTGCTTGGCTGTGTATCTAGATATCAGAGGACAGATACTATGTCGCTGAAACAGTGTTCTTGATGCAGCAGAGGGCTTTATCAGAGAAACTGGGTGGGGAGGGCTTGTTCTGTTATATATTGCCTAAGAGAAAAGTAGCAAAATGCCTTTTAATCTTTAAACATTTTCAGAAGAAAAAAACCTCAAAGCACTTCCGCCCATCTTTTAAACCTATTCCCAGTTATAAGCTTGGGGAGTCCTCTCTCTCGTGCCTAAAGTCAGAAGAAAAGTGTGTGCAGCACTTGAGGTAGAGAAGATCAATTGTTCCTGGTCCCGAATGTATCTGGGAAGAATCCAAAAGAAGGAATCATGCTGTTGCACTGGGGTTCCTGGGGTCGGGGAAGCAAGCCCACATTGCTCCCTCTTCTCCATGTGCTTTCCTCTGTCCCTTTATCCTCAAGAGTACCTATTCTGTCCAAGAGCCATGCTGGATGCTGGGGGGTCTAAGCACTGTACAGTCCCTCGGGTTGTAAGGTATTCTGTGTTCAGCTGGTAGTGTCAACAGAGCACGTGCAGTGGTCAGAGGGTGGAACCTGTATCTGTGAGCGGGAGTCAGTCTGGAAAAAGGTAAGGGCTTCCCAGAGGAAGGGGCATTTGAGCTGTGCCTTGAGAAATGAGAGGAATTTAAGTGAGGGTACTGAAGGAGAAAGGAGGGAAGGGGGGAGGGAGGCATGTAGGCAAAGGAATTAACCTGGGAACCAACATGGAGATTTCGGTGGGCCACTGGGCCCCTCCCCTTGCCCTACTGAAGGTTGAACCTGAGAAGTTTGCTTATTTTCCTCCAGTTCTGCACATGCCAGTGGAATGGTGAGAAGAGCTGGTCCTGAGTCCGTGCTTGAGAGACCAACTGGTCAGAGACTCCTGCCAACGGGGAGGGAACGGGACAAGTCTGAAGTAGTGAGCCCCGGGGATACACAGGACGGCAGCCCTCCTGGAGTCTGCCTGACTCCACGGCACACAGCTCATCCAACCCGCCTCTTGCCAACACCTAACTCATAGAGCCATGCAGCAAACATGATGCAATAATAATTAAACCAGAGATCACCACTGCCCTGCAGCCAGGAACTTCCCGGCAGGGAGTCAAACTGCAGCTTCAGGGAGTGCGACCCCGCTCCTCTCAGGCCCTTGGGTAGGAGGGGTAGTTACATGCTTGTGCTTGTCCCATGTCTCATTGCTTGACATTCTGGCCCAGAAAAGGAAACTTACACTACTTCCCTTGTGGAAATCAGGGCCACTGATTGCCACCATGTCACTTGCCAGTCAGTGATACTGGAGCAGGCAGCCTCTGCAGCCCATGGGTCACTTAATTTTCCTTTGGCCTTAGATGGAGAAAGAACACACAGAAACGCCACCAGCAACCCAGCCACAGACAACTGCGGGAGGAAACTGCTGGAAACCCAAGAAAAAAAGCAGAAGAATAAAGGGATGATGACAACAAAGTAGAAATGACCAGGGAACAGGATGGAAACAAGGAAATGAAGCTAGAGGTAGGAGGCCTGAATGCTCACCTTCTTCAGCCAGAACAAAGGGTGTAGCTTACACAGCCCCAGTCTGGGTCATTACTTGGCTCCCTCTTAACACAGCTGATGGGCAAGACATCCTTCAACAGTGTTCGGGTACTTAAGGGAAGGCGGCAGGGCAGTGAAGCCGGGGGAGTAGCTGAGGCGGGCCGTGGCGGGACCCGGCATCGGAGAGCAGGCAGCGTACAATGCTAGCTCTGACTAGTGTTCCCCACTTTGAAATTTAAGAAAGGAAAAACCTCTTTCTGCAGCACAGAGCTGCCCTCTGGGAAAACAAGCCCATCCAACAATCCCCTTGGTTTCCTGAGTGAGCAGCTTCGCTGCCTTTCCTGTTCACCCACCACACGCCCCAGACACACATATGTGTGCCCACCTTCTGGCACACGTACTGGCCTGTGCTGCACTTGTTAGCGCTGATGGGATGCCTTACTCCATCAGGTCTTCCTTTAGTTTAAGCAAGTGCACCTGGACTTCCCATGACATTTAACAGTAGAGCAGGTGAAACCTGGGCCACTTACCTTGTGAGGTATTTGTGTCTTATGCTTTTCTATCAGAGGCAGGTATAAGAAGTACTGAAAGGGATTATTTTCAGTGTAAAGAGACATATTTAAGAGAGCAATATGAGAAGTGCTTGTTATCACATATTTTTCAAGCCTTTTGAAAAAATAATCAGAGCTATGGGTAAATTAGCATGTCACCAAATGTACCAGGTTGTATTCCTATCTCACGGACTTTTAGAGCTGCTAACACTTCGCAGGAAAGTTTACAATTTGCTTTTTAAGGTACCCTCTGGACCCACACTTGGATGCTGTGGGTGTTTCTCATTGTTTTGTCCCTTTGAAATTTCTTAATAGAAAATTCAGTGCCCCCGGCTGCCGGTGACACTCCGAGTCAGGCTCCCAGAGAGTCCTGTGCTACCTACAGAGTGGGTGCTAAAGCTCAAGTGGGTGGTTTGCTGAGAACATTTTTTCTCCTGCTCTCCTTTCATGCCAGTTGGGGGAAGGAAGCAAGAACTTCCTCAGCTGGAAGCTGCATACAGTGTTTCCAAAAAGGCCTCCCATGAGCCATTGGCGGGCTTTCCAGACTTCAAAGTGGGCTTCTGCGAGCCGTCGAGAGCCAAACCACTGGGGAAGGTGTTTGGCTGATTTAGCAGGTGACACATCTGAGATTCTGCCTGATAACCACACAAATTTGAAGAATATCAAAGACACGGCCTCCTACAAAAATATCTCCTGACCTACAGCTCCACATAGGTTAGTGGAGAGGACACCCCACCAAACCCAGAACTCAGGGGCCAGCACTGCCCACGCCCAGGGTGCCAGGGGAAGTGCCTCTGGCGGCCTGTGCTCCCCGCAGAGTGAGGTGCTACCCCTGGAGCTGTCCTGCCGGGTGAGGTGGCACTGCTTTTACCTTGTATCTCTTTTTACACCCAGGAACTGGGCAGGCAAAAGGCTTCTCTTCCCCTCCATTCATGCACATGGAGCTGAGGATGGCTTCAGAGCTGATGGCGCTCTCTGTGGTCCAGGACTCATCGCTGTCCGACTCCTCGTAATCCACCTCCTCCTCATCATACTCACTGCCTGTGAGGTCACAGGAGAAGCACAGAGAGTGTCAGGAGCAGTCCCCTCCCCACCCACACGCCAGGAGGAACTGCAGTGACCAGAGGGCACGGGGATGGCAAGCGCCTCTAGTCCCAGGCACCGCCCTGGGAAGAAGACATTCACATTCCCACCTAAGAGACCAAGTTAGGCTTCCCAGCAATTCCCGGCTGGGAACTGGCTGAGCAGGAACTAGAACCTGATGCCGTGGCAGGCCAGTCTGTGACTGCAAAGGTGCGGGGAAGGCTCTGAGGGCAAAACCAAAAAGAAGCAACAATGATACACACATGCACATACACAGCCTGACATTCCAGTGCGCAGAACTGTCTCCTTAGCTTTATGCTTTCTTGGCTAATAAATGCAAAAATCTGAGGTAGAAGGTTACATTTTATACTTCTTAGAGTTAATACTTCAGTGGGAATTGATTTCAGATCTTTTTCTTTATAGGTTGAGCTAGGAGGACCATGAGGAAATTTGGAACTGAAAGAGGGGTTACCCCAAACTAGGGACCAGAGGGACAGAAATGCCCGGAGCTCTGAGGGCAAACTTTCATATTGGAATGCAGCACCAAACAATTGCCTGGCACACCCACCCTCAAGGAATCCCCCCCAACCCCCACCCGGCCACGTGGCTCAGCATGGAGGGAGGAGGGGATTCCCATGTATTCCTGTGGTTAAGCGCTCTGTTCAGAACTGAATTAAAAACCTGCTTCACTGACATCTGTTCAGGACAGCAGTGATGGAGAACCACTTCAACAAATAGCCCCTTTTGGCTCTTTTTTAATGAGGCCCAAAGCCATTTATTTTGAGCTTTTGCATAATACAACCCTGAAGGACATAATTCTACAGATCATAAACAGTGTAAAATAATATGTTGACAAGTCCTAATGCATTTACAAGCCCCTTGGAATAAATAGGAATTATAGCACAACATTAATAAGAATTATATGGTAGCAATTACAGTTGTGAAATTCATCCCCCAGGTGTGAGGCTACACTGCACCAAGGGTCTGCCGGGATGCTCCATGGGGCTTGCTTGGCCACATCAATTATTTCAACACCAAATATTGGCATTTTTATTGGGTTTCATTTTAATAGGTATTAATAAGATTGTTTGAAGAGCCAGTTGAGCCAGGAACAAGGACGCCAGCATCTGAGGCTACCACTTAAAAGGCTCCAAGAAGAAAGGAAGGAACCTCGAGTTGACTGAGTGCCTCTGAGGCTTCAGGCATGTAATTTAATCCCCGGTGTAATTAAATCATCTCATTTAATCCCCGGTGACCCTGGAAGCGGGGCATGGCTGTCGCTTTCACCAACACGAAGACACAGAGCATGGAGAGCTTCAGGAGCGTTTGCACTCTCGGCGCTAAGGGACATGGCTTTTTCCCAGGCTGCTTCCTGGCCCCCAGCCCCCGTGCCAGCCCCATTCTGACTGACGGCGTCCCTCTCAACTGCCTCCGTGTGGCTGAGTGGAACATCCACCACTCAGAATTCAGAGCAAGTCTGTTTAGAAACTCTTGGGTGGTGCAGAAAAAATATTTGGCAAAAATGAGGCTTTGGAATGAAATGAGGGTTTCAGGAAGCCCTGCTGTACTTGGCTGTACCCCCAGGAACTGGACCAGACCCAGTTTGGACAGGCTCGGATGAGACAACATGGGGCTATGCGCCTCCACGTCTCTGAGTCTGACTGCGAACCAATCTCAATGTGCTTTTAAGTAGGACATTGTTTGGAACATTTTACTCTTAAACAAATGCCACATTCTGGTGTCCTTTAAATTGCTTGTTTGAAAACCACAAATGCTATTTTGAAAGTTCTTCCAGCAGGACTTCAGAAAGTTAGAATGACTAATTTACCCATCTAATCGGACTAATTTGTTAACCTGAATACTAAGAACCACGCAACATTTACAACCAGGGCAGAGTGGGGCTAGTGGAGAGCCTCAGACCAACGGAGGGCTTACTGAAGCCCAGCAGAAAATAAGACTTAAAAACTGCACTGGATCAAAAGGGCCCAGACCCTGAGCGGCTGATGCCATGGACAGCCCCCGGAAGCTGGGCAGCTCCAGCCCCAAGGGTGGCATGGCAGCATGCAGAACTGTAGTGTATCATCCCCCTGGGATGCCTCTGAGAGTGAAGAGAGTGAGAGCCAGCACTGGAATGCCAGGTGTAATCGGCACTGCCCCTGGCTGAGTGGGCCACTTGCACCCTGCTCCTCAGTCTACAAGGCCCTCTTTGCTTTGTGAAATTAACCATCTCCTTTGGACAGGGACCAAGAAGGATCTGTGTTACTTAGTCCTGTCCTACAACAACACAGAACGGGCCCAGACCTGGGTTCATGTCTTGGCTGGGCAGGACAGGTGAGTGATAAGCTACTTGGCCTCTACTTTCTCTTCTGTGAAATGGGCACAAATCTCTTCCTTGCAGTTTAGGGATTAGAATTAATGTCTACTGAACAGCTGGCACAGGAGGACCTACACATAGTAAGTGCTTAAAAGGTAGAAGACAGTGTAAACTCCATTTTTGTAATAATATACATATTACATTTGAAATATTTTTATAAAGGCCTGCTGTGAAAACAGCAAAACATAAGGTAGTTCTGAGAGGCTTGGGAATATCCACTAGAAAAAAAATAAAAGTATGACTCCAGATCAAGCAGGTGTAGTGCTCACTTTGCATTTCCCAGCGCAGGTGGAGCTAAGCAGCTCCCCACCTACAGGGAGGCCGCAGTCTGCCAGGTGCTGCCACCTCCCTGAGCTTCCGGCTCCGTAAGATGGGCTGCTGCTACTCCTGCCACCTCTTCAGGTTGTTGTGAGGAGTGAAGAACCACGCCCAGCACTGGTAAGCATTAAAGGAGTATGTGGTAGTAAATTAGCAAAATGTCACATGAGCAGTTTTCTTTTGTTATCCACTGTCCCATTCTCTCTTGAGGGCACTTGCTTTTATAAAACAGGAGTGTGTGTAGCATGTACTGCTGCTGGGGTTACCATGCGTGCGGCAAGGGCTACCTTGTCATCCAACATAACTGTCAGCAACTGGGAGGCGGGTCCTAAGGGGCAGCTGCAGGGAGACAGGCTGCAGGGTTCCAGAAAGGCACATGTACCCAGATGCTGGCCTCAGGAAAACTTGCTACAGGGCCTGCGGTGTCCTGCGAAGACATCCAAGGCCAGAAAAAACAACTGCTGCTCAGCTCCTTCGAAACATCTTGGAACTCTAAAAAGCGCTAACCTGAAATGAAAGTTAAGTCTTCAGATAAAAAATCACCTGGGCCAGCCAGCCCTCCCATCTTTACTTATTAATTTCCTCATGTCTTTCCAAGGAGAAAAACCCCAACCTGGTTCATTTTCAATCTCTGCTTCATCTTCTATCTTCAAAACAACCTTCAGAAAGAAAGAATTCCTAGCTGTTTCTAGACCTTGGCTAGAGAATTCCATCCCCTGCCTCAGCCCCCATTAGGGGAAGTCAGGCTGACCCTCCTAGCAATGCCTCTCAGCCTTGTGATCCTCCACCCCAATCAATAAAAACTGTGAGCACTGCCTCCCAAGTATGAGTGTGCATGAATACACTGTAAATGACATACATGTACTATTACTGTATAAAACAGATACGCAAATAAATTAAAAGGATGAGGATACAGTTTAATAAACATGTATAAAATAGGTATTTTACTTAGTAAGTGCAAAGATTTCATATTTCCTTCCTCCCCCTCATGGACCACCTCCTACACCCCTGTGGAGCCCACTGCCCTCCAGACCAGCTAGAGGGGCGGGATGGGACACATCACAGCCAGCTTCCAGGCCATCAGACTGAACTGAGTTTTTGGCCTATTCTAGGGGAGAGGAGCGGCAGTACATCCATTCATTCACACAGTAAACACCCCAAGTGATCATGAGAAGAGTGGGTGATCTCTGAGGTTCTGTGGAACCTCTCCCCCCGTTAAGTCTACAGGAGAACGGGCCGGGCTGCAAGCCAGAGGGGAGAGGGAGGGCCAGGGAGCAATGTGGGCTTCCTGTCCTGAGCCCCCACCATCCAGAATCCACTAACGTTAATTTTGGCATAGTTTTCTAAACAATATATATATATATACATAAAACAGTATTTCCTCAGCATAAAAGAGGAAAAGAAACCCCACACCCCATATGTAGTTGTATGTCCCTGCGGCAGGGAGGGAGGGAGGAAGGGACTTGGGAGTGTGAGAGTCACAGGAAGGGGCCTGGAGCAGGTGTCTGGGGACTGGCTGGCAGATGTCCTCCAAGGTCGCCCTCTTAGCAAGTTCTACTGGGGATACTGGGTTGTGGAATCAGAATTTTACAACTACAAGGAACTTCTGGGCTGCTGAGCCCCACACTGGTTTTACTGTATCGGGAGTTCTGGAGTGGTGCGGCCACAGTGGCTGGCACGTGGCTTCCCTTCTCAGGACCCCATGGCTCCAGTTTCTCTACCTGTGAAGCATGCCACGGCCCATGCCCATTCAGCTCCACTGCTCCTCCACCACCACCCCTCCTTGCTACCAATCAGCCCTAAGTCCTGCAGGCAACAGCTGAAAGTGATGGGGTGCTCAAACAGAAAATGGAAAAGCCGCCTCCACCCACCACCCTGTGCCCATACTTAATGTTCTGAAGGAAATGTCCAGAGGAAAGCTTCCTCACAGCTAAAGAGAAAGCTTGCCGACCTTCATTCAGACAGACAGGTGAAACCCCACGGAAGCAGCCTCCTTAGGCCTCCAGAAGCACCACCCTTTCCCTCTGGGGTGGGCCACGTTGGGAAGCCGACAGTGCAGGGAAACCAACCTCCAAGATGCTGCCCCTTTATTTTAAAACAAAGATTGACTGGATCAGATTTCCAATTCTGATGAACCCTTCTCTATTAGAAGAGGGATCACTCTCAGAGATCTGCATCTCAAAAGGGGCCCCACGGGTGAAGGACACCATGGACTCGCTGGGCTGTGGGGTGAACACGCCCCGGAGATTGAACCGAGCTGTCATGT